CCTCCCTATATCCAGCCCCTTCCCAGGCCTTCAGGCCCAGCTGTACCTGCAAACCACATACTGTCCCTAAGCTCTCCAAAGCCTGGAAGAGCGGAAGAGCTGTAGCCAGCTTCCTTCCCTGCCTACAGGGGTCTGGCAGTCTCCAGGTGTGGCTTCCTCTCTAGGCCTGGCCACCCACAGTGCTGACACTTCTGTTTTCCCCTCCCTGGCCTGTTAGTAAGTGTGTGTCCCTCTCTAAAGTAGGCAGCACAGCGAGGCTGACCCTGGCTCCTGGGGCAGTGGCTCACACAGGAGCCGGAGTGACCCAGGACTTCTCTTCCCAGCCTCAGTTTTCTCATCCATAAAAGGTATATCCTACCTTGGCATCATGTGGAAAGGGGACCACTTGTGTATAAAGTGTTTTATGCTTGGTTAATGTGAATTCTGCCTCCTTTAAAGAGTCAGGAACATTTAGCCTGAAAAGTCAGGGGCTTTGGGGTGAGTTGAGGTACCTAATAAGAAGAATGCACAGAGGAGCTGGGGAAAGTGTGTGAACCTGATCTCAGAGTTGAATGTCAGGAGTACCTGTGCGCACAGGGTTCCAACCCTCTCAGCTGCCTTCGGGGACCTCAAAGAGGGCGCCTCTGTCCTCTGGCCACCACCAACGCTACACTTAGCTAGGACGAACATGCCTACTAGGGCATATTTAACTTGTGACCCCAGGCTCTGCGAGAGTCTAGACTCTAGAGTGCCAGGGAGGGAGAAACCTTCCTTCTTCTCTAAGGCTGGAGGAGAAAGGAGGAGAGATTGAGAGGGCGCTCAGGGAAAGGACCAAGCACAAGGCCTGGGCGTGAAGGTTTGAAGGCACAGCCGCCGGAAGCACCAGGTGACTGGCCATGCGCGGTTAGAGGTCAGACAACCTGAGCCTGCTGCTAAGAGCCTTCCCCACCACGCCGGCCTAACGAGCGGCTTAGAGGTGACAGTGGGGGTAGGACAAAGCAGAGCAGGTGTGGGAGGTGTGCGCAAGGCGGAGCGGGGCAGGGTAGTTAAAGACCGGTGGCCCCGCACTGGCGTTCCCGCGCGCAAACTCCCGAGTCCAAATCCACGTGCTGGGGGAGTGTCTGAGACTGACGTGCCGTGCAACCAATAGGCAGGCGCTGCCGGCGCTCGGGGGCGGGGCATAGCCGTGGGAAGGGAGGAGGCGCGCGCCGTGGGGCTCACTCACCTGGGGCCTGGGCTGAGGATCGGGTCGGGAGTCGGGTTGGGGCGGCCTCCAGGCCTACTCCGAGGCCGAGCAGCAGCCGCAACGCCAGGCCCAGTGCCGCTGTCCGTCGTGCTCCACCCCGCGCCATCAAGCCGCTAGTCGTGCGGCCCCGCGCGGACCCGCCTGTGCTCTTAGTCCTACGCACGCGCACGCGCAGGTTGGGGACGGGAGGCCACGCCTCTAGATCCCACCCCGCCCGCGGCTACGTATTACCATAAATACCAGAATACGAAAATCAACAGAATTTGAGGACCTTCCCTACTTACCCAGTGACAAGATCGGTCGAAAGGCATGGAGCCCGCTTAAAATTATAAATTTCTAGGGTTGTAAACGAACTTTTTGGTGTCCAGTTTCACTATTTCACGTTCACCACCCATACTGCCTCAAATGTTTCTGCATGATAACCCTGTTTAATACGGTAGCCACTCCGCTCTAACACCCCTTATCCTCCCTTGTCCCGCAGGTTTATGCTCCCAACGGATTATATATTTACTTATTTTTGGTTTATTGTCTGACTCTCTACTAGAATGCCAGCTGCAGGAGGACAATCATGCACTGTTGCTCATTGGTATATCCACGGTGCCTGTCTCACAGAGTTTCTGACTATAGCATAGACTCTTAATATTTAGTGAGTAAATGGATGAAAGAAACGTCCAGTTTCCGGCTTCCATTCGGTGTCTGTCCTTCTCACCTGCATATGATCACCCACTGCCTTATTTAAACCTCCCAGACTCGGGAGAAGTGGGTATTCTGATTTTCTCCTTCAAGAAAAAGATACATGTGAAGACAACCTTGGGGCTTTATCTTCCCTCTAGCACACCATAGGTGCATGAAAGAAGCAATTTTTTTTTTTTTTTTTTTGAGACAGAGTCTCTCTTTGTCACCCTCACGTCATAGCAACCTCCAGCTCTTGGGCTCAAGCCATTCTCTTGTCTCAGCCTCCTAAGTAGCTGGGACTACAGCTCCCGCCACAACGCCTGGTTAGTTGTAGGGTGTGGGGGTGGGGTCTCGCTCTTGCTCAGGCTGGTCTCAAACCTGTGAACTCAGGGCAATCCACCCACCTCGGCCTCCTGGAGTTCTAGATTACAGGCGTGAGTCACTGCGCCTGGCATAAAAGAACCTTTTACTTGGGTGCATTAGCTCTAGCCCTAGTCTCAAATACTCAGGAGGCTAGGAGTTCAAGACCAGCCTGGGCAATATGTAAGACACTCGCCCCTCCATTTTTTTTTCTTTTTTTTTGAGACCAGAGTCTCACTATGTTGCCCTCAGTAGAGTGCTGTACTGTCACAGCTCACAGCAACTTCAAACTCTTGGGCTGAAGCGATTTTCTTGCCTCAACCTCCCAAGTGGCTGGGACTACAGGCACCCACCACAATACCCAGCTATTTTTTTGTTGTAGTTGTCATTGTTGTTTAGCAGGCCTGGGCCAGGTTCAAACCCACCAGCCTCCGTGTATGTGGCTAATGCCCTAACCACTGAGATATGGGTGCCAAGCCAAGACCCCATCTTTAAAAAAGAAAGAAAGAAAGAAACAAACAAACAACAAAAAAAAACCCAGGGCGGTGCCTGTGGCTCAGTGAGTAGGGCACTGGCCCCATATAACGAGGATGGCGGGTTCAAACCAGTGATCTCCTCCCCCCTCTTGAGTATTTGGGACTAGGGCTAGAGCTAATGCACCCAACTAAAAGCTTCTTTTATGCCAGGCCAAACTGCAACAAAAAAATAGCCAGTGTTGTGGCGGGTACCTGTAGTCACAGCTTCTCAGGAGCCTGAGGCAAGAGAATTGCCTAAGCCCAGGAGCTGGAAGTTGCTGTGAGCCATGATACCACGGCATTCTACCAGAGGCAACAAAGTGAGACTTAGTCTCTTAAAGAAAAAAAAAAAAACAGGCTGGGCATGGTGGCTCACACCTGTCATCTTGGTACTCTAGGAAACTGAAATGGGAGGATTGCTTGAGCGCAGAAGTTCAGACTAGCAAGAGTGAGACCCCATCTCTACGAAAACAAGTAACACACACACAAAAAATCTTACTATCTAATCTAGCAGCACTGTTTTCTTCTTGAAAATAAATAACTCATTTACAATTCTGCCACCAGTAGCATCAAGTCCAACTGCCAGCAGGACCCCAGATAAGTCACTGTCCCTCAGCACTAAGAAAGGTGTGTGTTTGCCAAGTCCCCACCCCCACCAAGTTTCCTGTGAGGTTGCATTCAAGTGCTCAGATTTTCTTTTTTTTTTTTTTTTTGAAAAAAAACCCCAAACCGGCCCCCCTGGGTAGAGTGCTATGGCATTACAGCTCACAGCAACCTCCAACTCCTGGGCTCAAGCGAGTCTCCTGCCTCAGCCTCCCAAGTAGCTGGGACCACAGGCGCCCACCACAACGCCCAGCTATTTTTTGGTTGCAGCCGTCATTGTTGTTTGGCGGGTCCAGGCTGGATTCGAACCCGCCACCTTAGGTGTACGTGGCTGGCGCCTTAGCTGGTTGAGCTATAGGCGCCGAGCCAAGTGCTCAGATTTTCAAAGAATGGGTTTTATTTGCAGGTTGATGGCATGCTTCACTATTTTGGAATGTCACAGGTTATAGCTCTTTTTGGATTGCATTTTCCTCATCATAATCTCCCCAGTTCCCAGAGTAAAGAGGCAAGGGTTCAGAGGCAGTTGGAAAGAGTAACTCATAGGACTCCCTGGTGATGATGGCAGGGTAGCATCCTGCCTTTGAGCTGCAAAACTTGGCAATTGAGACTCCTGGGGCCTGGGGATAGAAGCTGAAGCAGCCATGTATGTGTGTACAGTAGCTCACCACAGACTCATCAGCTGCCTGGGTCTAAAGCCAGCTCTAAATCAGCTGGAATGAGCCAAGATCATGGATATGACATGTGCAGAACAGCACCTGGGCCACAGGAACAGCTCAGATGTCAGCCCTCTTTCTTACTCTACTCCTTTGCCAAATTTCAGAGTTAAAACGATTCAGAGACCTTCAGTGGCAGGTATTCCTGTAGATTCACCCCCCGCTTGTGGCCTTTGCACACCTCGGCCAGACTTTCCTTCCTGACCTTTCTGAATCTAATTCATCCTTTTGCCCCCAGCAGATCCCACCTCCTCCAAGAAGCCTCAGCTTCTAGCCTTAGACCCACACTGGAGCACTTACACCTGGTGCCTCCAAGTGTGACCTTTCCCTACCTTGCTCTAAGCTTCCAGTAGGCAGGGGAGCCCCAGCACCATTTTGGCATATAGGCAATCTTTTTCACCTGCTAAAAGGTTACAGGGTTGTGCCAAGGGACAGTGTGATGCTCCCCTGCTTAGGGTCACTATGTGACTCCTACAGAGAGACTCAGTCCCCTCCTCTTGCAGATTCCTCTCTCCTGATCTTTCCTCCCCAGAGACCAACTGCCTCCATTCCCCACTGAGCTTCAGGGTAGCCCAAGATCAAGCAGAGGTCTCAGTAGGGAGGTCTCAAGTGTTGAAGTGAGAAGCCTGTGGTTGGCCTGCTATCCATACTCTCTTCCCACCTGCTTTTGCTGCCCATCTTCCCCTAACCCCTAAAGGTCCTGGAACCTAACCTGTGGGGTCCCACCATTCCCACCACTCTCAGAGCAGAGCCAAGCCCTCAAGGGAGAACAGTGCTCTCTCCTAAACTGTGTACCACATAGCCTGACTCTGCACCCAGGGGCAGTGTCTCTCCAGCCCTTGGAGCAATGAGTTGGGAGATTCAGCACCAGCTTCACCCCAAAATTCAAGTAAGCTGAGTGTCACTTAAAAAGTAAAAGCAGAAATGATAATGAAGCTCGATATATTTGTAATAAATTAGGCCACATTCTCCCTGGACCAAATCCAAGGAGGCAAAGCAGTCAAGTGGCCCTAGGACACAGCATCACAGGTAAGGCTGGTCCTTGGACAGCTCCCACTTCTTTATGGGAGGAGCTGGTGTTACCGCCTTCTTCTCAGTGGCCATGACAGCTGACCTGGAGGAAGAAAACAGACTTCAGTTACAGCCAGATTTCCAGAGAAGAGTATGAAAAGGTCTGAAGGAGACCACACCTGCCCCCAGGACAAACACACCTGCTGGGACTTTCTGGACCTGAAGGGCAGAGTGCAAGGTGTTCCAGAGTGCCCAGATCCTTCCAGTGAAGTCCCTGAGAACGTCAGTCAACTCTTGCTGGGAGCTGGCAGTCCTCCTTTCTGCCCAAGCCCTGTGTAAACCTCCAGGCAGCCTGCTTTGGCTCCTGGACCCTGAACCTGCAGTGAAGACCTGGGTGTTTCTACCTTCCCACTTTTGGTCCCTAAAGTAAACAAGCCCCTTTCCCCCTATCTTCTGTGGCCCCTGGACAGGACATGGCAAAAGGGCCAAGGAATCAGATGATCCTGTCCACTGCTCTTCCTTCCTCAGGCACACAGGAACTATGAACTACAAGGCAGTTCCTAGGTACAATGCTAATAAGATGAGGCTCCGCCCTCAGGAAGGTGGAGCTGAGAGTCATCTTGTAACGGAAATCCACACCTCTGGCCCAGAGATGGCTGGGTGGAGGGGGTGTTCCAAGAAGACACTGTGCCACCAAGTTCAGGACCAAGCCCTCTCTTCCCAAGCACCTGAACCCTAGAGTCCAGAGCTGAAGAAATGTACACACTCCACACTGTGAGCAAGATAGGAAAAGGAGCAAGAGGGCTGGATTACAGAGGAGGCCGCGAAAGCAGGAGGTCTAACCCTAACCCTAACCCTAACCCACCCTTCTGGGAGCTCCAGGCCAGTAGAAGAGGCAGAAGGCAGCTGTCCTGGGAAATGCAGACATATCCAGGAGCATGGTGAGAGAGTGCGTGGGTGAAGGTTAGCTTGCCACACTCTGGTGCCAGATTCCTGAGAAATGGAATCTTCACTGACCATTCACTGAGTTGTTTTTTGTTTTTGTTTTTTGAGACAAAAGCTCACTCAATTGCCCTGGGGTTCCTCAAACTCTTTGGGCTCAAGCAATTCTGTTGCCTCAGCCTCCTGAGTAGGCCTACCACAGTGCCCAGCTAGTTTTTCTATTTTTAGTAGAGACGGGGTCTTGTTCTTGCTCAGGCTGGTCTCAAACCCCTGAGCTCAAGCAATCCACCTGCTTTGGCCTCCCAGAGTGCTAGGATCACAGGTGCGAGCCACCTTGCCTGGCTTTTCTTATGGTATTTAGATATAACTTGGTTATAGACATAGGCTCTCACTCTACCGCCCAGATTAAAGTACAGTGGCAGGCTCGGTGCCTGTGGCTCAAGTGGCTAAGGCGCCAGCCACATATACTTAGGGTGGTGGGTTCCAATCCAGCCCAGCCTGCCAAACAACAATAATGGCTGCAACCAAAAAATAGCCAGGCATTGTGGTGGGTGCCTATGGTCCCAGCTACTTGGGAGGCTGAGGCAGGAGACTCGCTTGAGCCCAGGAGTTAGAGGTTGCTGTGAGCTGTGATGCCATAGCACTCTACCCAGGGGGATGGCTTGAGGCTCTGTCTCAAAAAAATAAAATAAAATAAAATAAAAATATAAAGTGCAGTGGCGTCATCATCCTCAAATTCCTGGGCTCAAGTGTTCCTCCTGCCTCAGCCTCCGATTGTATTTTTGCAGATAGGGTCTGGCTCTTGCTCTGGCTAGTCTCAAACTTCTTTCTAGTCTCAAGTGATCTTCCTGCCTTGGCCTCCCAAGTCACTGGATCACTCCACCACACCCAGCTAGTTTATGAAGTTCTAACTACACAGCAGGCCTGTCTGACCTCCAATCTCATAGATCTTAGCACCTACAAGCCTATTGTCCCCATTTAACAAAGAAACTGAGGCTCAAGACTGCAGAACTGTCCCAAGGCCACAAGGCAAGTCGGCTATAGAGCTTGGGCACCAACGGGGATCCACCAATTGGTTTGAAATCTTGTTTCTGTTACCCCACAGGCTGTGTGATCCAAGCCAGTCACTTGGCCTCTCTGACCCTGATTTCCTCTTCTGCAACAGAGGTCATCTCTACCTCATGGACTTACTAGGAGGCAGGCATGGCATTGACAAAGAGCTTACAAATATTAATTATGGAGGTTAACTCTGAGCATAGTGGCACATATCTACAGTCCTACCTACTCAGGAGGCTAAGGCAGGAAGATGGCTTGAGACCAGGAATTGGAGAGTACAGTGAGCTATGATAACACCACTGCACTCTAGCTTGACAGAACAAGATCCTGTGTCTTAAATAAGAAATAATACACAATCACAAAAACAGTTAAGTCCAGGCTTCTCCAAGGGCCCGTAAAGGGACCTTGGAAACTGATCTGCTTTGTAGGACACCCACCCCTAGCTGAGGGGCTAATCAGCCTTGGTGGGGTTAAACAAGCTCTTGGACTAAAAGCCTCCTGGTGGCATAGTTCCTGATGCAGTTGATTCTTGCCCTGTCCACAGTGGGGGGAGAAAGGGTCTGATGCAGGAGAAGGTATGTGGGAACTCTAAGTAAGCAATGCTGGAGATCCTTACCTCTCTGTTGGCATGCCTGAACCCAACACTTTCTGTGAAGACATGATGACAGAAGGGGGCACAGCTTCCCGGCGGCCGTCTCGAGTGCAGTAGTAATTGTTGGAGAACTTGTGGCTGGGGCCCACAGGGAGACTGGGAGGAGGCTGAGTTCTGAGGGAAAAGAACACTGGCACTGAAGCAAAGGGACAGTCATTTGCACACAGGGTACACAGCCAGCCACTGGGATAGGCTGTAGGCCAGGGGTATCTCCTGACACACTGGCATAGACATATTCCTGGGGAGAGGTGCAGGGCCCAAAAGCAGGTATCAGCGCCTTTTCTGGACATGAAGGTTCTAGGAGAGGCTAGGGTCCTCCCTACCCCAGGTCCCTTACCTGCTCCAAATGTAGGGGGAATGGAGAACCCTTTAACTCATTAAGGGGAACCCTATAAAATCCCAGGAAAGGGGGTGGCCCAGACATGTCCCTCACTCCCCACTGCTGAACTTGGTGACTGGCCTTGCTTCCACCTGTTTCACATTTAGCCCACTTCGGGTTTTTTTGAGACCAAGCATCATTCTACTGCCCTGGGTAGAGTGCCATGGCATCATCATAGTTCACAGCAACCTCATATTCCTGGGTTCAAGGAATCCTCTTGCCTCTGACTCCCAAGTAGCTGGAACTCAGGGGCCTGACATCATGCCCAGCTAGTTTTTCTATTTTTAGTAGAGATGGGGTCTCATTTTTGCTCGGGCTCAAGCTACCACAAGCCACCTACCTCAAGGATTACAAACTACCAGAATTCACCTACCTCAAGGATTACAAACTACCACATACAACCCCATTTTATTTTTTTCCCCAAAGGCCAAGCCTGAAGAATCCTGCTGGGATCAAGGCTTATTATTCAAAGAAAACCTTGCCCTTGGGGCATGCCCAAGTCTCTTCATTTCCTGCCACCATATGGTCAGACACCAAGACTCTCTGTAGCCAGAACCGGGTGGAGAGGTAAACAGAACTCAGTTTACCTTGGGCTAAACCCTGGGCTAAACTTACCTAGAAGCTGAGGCTTTAAAAAAAAATACTAGGCAAGGCATGGTGGGTCACGCCTGTAATCCTAGCACTCTGGGAGGCTGAGGTGGATTGCCCTGACCTCACAGGTTCAAGACCAGCCTTAGCAAGAGCAAGATCCCATCTCTAAAAGTTGCCCAGCATTGTGGCAGGCACTGTAGTCCCAGCTACTTGGAAGGCTGAGGCAAGATGATCACTTGAGCCCCAAGAATTGGTGGTTGCTATGAGCTATGATGCCATGGAAGATGACAAAGTGAGACTCTGTCTCAAAAATAAATAAAAATAAAAAATAAAAAGAAATATTAAGCTCAAAAGAAGAGTAGTTTCCCAGAAAGAAAGGACGGAGAAGTCAAGGAAAACGTCAGGATAAATACCTGATTTTTAGCTAGGCATGGTGGCACATGCCTCTAGTCCCACCTACTCAGAAGGCTGAGATAGGAGAACTACTTAAGCTCAACAGTTTGAGGTCAGCCTGGGCAACTTAGCGAAATTCTTTCTCTCTTTTTGTAACTTTCCAAAAGAGTATTAGTTTGCTTAGGAGACCCTGTATCTTAAATAAACAAACAAAAAAAATCTGATTTTCGTTTAACCATGTTTTTCTGTTGTTGTTTCTTAAAACAGTCTCGTTCTGTTGTCCAGGCTAGAGTGCTATAGCATCATCATAGCTCACAGCAACCTAAAACTCCTGAACTGGGGCAATCCTCTTGCCTCAGCCTCAGGAGTAGCTAGGACTACAGGCTCCCACCACAATACTCGGCTCTTTTTTTTTTTTTTTTCCTATTTTTACTTATTTATTTTGAGACAGAGTCTCACTTTGTTGCCCTTGGTAGAGTGCTGCAGCATCATAGCTCACAGCAACCTCAAACTCTTGAGCTCAAGGGATCCTCTTGCCTCAGGTTTTCATTTTTAGTAGAGACAGAGTCCTACTCTCACTCAGGCTGATCTTGAACTCATGAGCTCAAACAATCCACCTACCTTAGCCTCCCAGAGTGCTAGGATTACAGGTGTAAGTCACTGCACCTCACCCGTTTAGCCATGTTTTTATTTAATATTTTTGTTTTGTTTTGTTTTGTTTGGCCAGGGCTGGGTTTGAACTGACACCTCCAGCATATGGGGCTGGCACCCTACTCCTTTGAGCCACAGGTGCCACCCTTTTTTTT